GGTACTCTGGCTGGCTGGCCTTCTTGAACAGGTCCTACAATATAGGAACATTTGACTTCTTTGGGGGCATCTTTGTTGCTTCGAAGTCCAGGTAACTGAAAGGAGTGGGCTGGAAGGGGACAGGTGACCCATCTGTTGGCTCATGACAAAGATGAGAGCCCCCATCACAGCACACAGCTGCAGGTGAGGCGTGCTCGGGGGCCCAGCGTGGGCCACACTCCTCTTCCTGCTCATCTGCCCCTCTTAGGCTACAGGGACCCGTCAGTCTCCTCTCCTTCTTTTTCCTTATAAGACCACCCTACATATTCATTTTAGACAGACTTCTTTCACCTGTAGGAAAAGGCTGACTCAAAGAGGATCATCAGAGGTGAAACAGGCTAGTGCTCAGAATGACCAACTCTTCGGGATTTAAGAAGGCTTCCTTCATCCTGTCCTTCGCCTCCAGGGTCAAAGAGGTCTCTCATTATTCCTAGAATAAGACTCTGCCTTTCCATTTGATGGCTCAGTGTCAAGTTGCATAGCATCATGAGATTTTTGAGCTGGAATAAATTCCATGATTCTAACATGGGGCATCTGGAGAGGGTGGGGGTGTAAGTTTTGAGGCTCCTTGGGCAGAAATGGGGGGAGCAGGACACAGAGCAGGTTCTCCCTCACTAGGTTCCATCCCAGGCTCCTCCAAGGCAAGCTGTGTGTCTTTTGCCCCTGGGTGTCCTTTGCAAAACATAGGGCATTCCTACTACCTATTGGCATGTCATCTCCACTTGGGCACTTTGAACTCGACATGTTCTCCCCCAAACCTGACCCTCCTCAAGCCTTTTCCATTTCAGGATGCATATTCTAGTGGATTGCTATCGTTTTTCCTCCTCCCATCCAAGATCTGCACACCTTAGTTCCAAAACTTCATAAATTTGTCCATTTCCCTCCATCTCCACGGTTATCACCGTTGGCCAAGCCAACACTGCTGTCACTTAGATTAATGCAAGCTCCCCTGAGCTGCCCCCTTGCCTTCCAGGCTGCCTCTCTATGATCTGTTCTCCACATAGCCACAAGAGTGGTCTTTCTGAAGATCAAATCACACCACTTCCTGGCTTAAAACCCTCCAATGTCTTCTCATTGATCTGTTTTGTTTGTTTTGTTTTTTGAGATGTAGTCTTGATCTGTCACCCAGGCTGGAGTGCAGTGGCACAGTCTCAGCTCATTGCAACCTCTGCCTCCTGGGTTCAAGTGATTCTTCTGCCTCAGCCTTCCAGGTAGCTGGGATTATAGGTGTATGCCACCATGCATGGCTAATTTTTGTATTTTTAGTAGAGATGGGGTTTTACCATGTTGGCCAGACTGGTCTCGAACTCCTGACCTCAAGTGATCCACCCGCCTCAGCTTCCCAAAGTGCTAGGACTGCAAGCATGAGCCACTGTGCCCAGCCCCAATGACTCTTAAAACAACATCTAAACTTGTAAGAAGGCCACATGAACTGGCTCTGCTGAATTCTCTGATTTCAACCAGAAACACGTCACCTCTCAAGCCTGTTAAGCTCATTCCCCAGAGGATTTGTGCCAGCTGTTCTCACCTCCTAGAATGCTCTTCCCCTAGAACTTTACATGGCTGGCTCCTTCCCACGATCAGGTCTCAGCCCAGCATCATCTAGAGTGGCTGTCCCTGGCCTCCCGAGATAAAGCAGGTTCCGCCTCCCTCACCTTTCGCTCTCTGTCTCATTGCTTTTTAAATTTTCTAAGTGGCATGATTTGTTCATTGATTTGTGGTCTCATTTATTGTCTGTCTGGGGCTAATAACAGGCAGGGGATTGAGTTCTGACCCCCAGCAACTAGAACTCTACCTATCACAGTGTGATAGGTACAAATTTTTCTTGAGTTAAGTGAGCAAATTCGATTAGAGCCAGCCACTTGACAGGGAAGCAGAATTCTACCAGATCTCACTGTCGCTTCCCTCCAAGCTTCGGAAGCTTGCTGACCTCCTTCCTCTCCACTTTGCTGTGCCCTCTCACTGTCCCTGAACTTGAGATCCTGAGCTTGAGGTTTAGCTGTGCTCTCTGTCCCTTGAAGACCCAGGAGGCCATCCACTAAGAAATGGGGACTTAAGTGAGACACAAAGAAAACTTCCTCATGGCAGGAACTGTAAGATACTGAAGACAAGATGCGGTGCTGGGAGGAAAGGCGGTGAGGCATGGAGATCTATTTACCAGCGAGCCAATGGTGGTCTGCCAGGCCCAGCCGCCTGCACCCCTTGGCCTTCGTCGTATTGAATCCTTCTGCCAACTCCTGTCCCGCAACCCAAGTCATGCTTTTCTACTCTAGACACCCAGGGAACTGAGTCTTCTCCCCCAGGCCCTGCTCTGCTCGTGCGGGTGAGTGGCCACTTAGGGGGAGGGCTGCCCTGCCTCCCGTCATCTCCTGCTAGCCCACTGTGTGCAGGAGACAGCACCTCATGATATTATGTTTGCAGACAAGCTCACACCTTCCAGTGAAGAAAAATTCAGGCAAAGGGCCTGAGGGAATGCAAGGCTTTCCCGGGAGTTATCAGGAGAACTTCCCTCATGCCTGTGCATGGCGGGCCCTGGTTTAGACCCCAACCTTGGTCCCCAGGGGACTTGCCATGACCTGAAAGAGGAGGACAAATCTCAGACCCTTCCTCCTGCCCCAGCTGGCCTGGACCCCTTCCTTCCCTCCTGCCCTCCCTCTCTGGGCTTTCTCCTGCCTTCCCTCTCTGGGCTACCTCTCCACATGGATCTTGTGCCTTCCTCCAAAGCAGCTTTCCTGTAAGATCTCAGCTCAGCTCCACTGGCAGACAACGTAACAAAGAGCCTCAATAAGGCCAGGCTGGCAGGCGGCTTATCAAGATGTACGTCTTTGCTGTGCACGCAGACTGCCACCTTGGTGCTGCTGTGTCATCACAGACGGCAAAACCAAACAGATGCTCATGCACACACACTTACATACACACACGGACGCACACATTCATGCACCCACGGACACAAAAGCATGCACACACACTTGCACACACACATGCACACGCACACACTTGCACACACATGCATATGCACATGCACACACATATCCACACACATGCACACACACAGCATGCACACGAACACACGAGTTTGCACACTGTTGAGTGCTGTGGTCCCAGGAGCCAGAAGCTCCAGCTTTGCCCTCCTAACCCTTGTATCTGCTTCTCTTTCCTCCTCCTCTGTCTTGAGAACCCAACCAGGAGACTGCGAGTTGCACTGGATGGGGACTGTGGGGCATGAGGGGGATCATCTTTTGTAACACAAGCTGGGGACCCAGCAGGTGCACAGTGAATATACTTAGATCACAGAAGGCCAGTGCCAGAAGGGAGATGAGAGATCTCAACCTGTCTCATTCTACAGGGCAGGAATCCAAGTCAGCAAGGCCTGGGGCTGCTGAGTGAACTCACTAGCTACCTAGTCACTGAGCAACAGAGTCTGGAGTCTGGGTCCCCTGACGCCCAGGCTCGAGCTCTTTCATGTCCTCCATTGCTTGCTCAATTGACATGAAGGTGCTGGGGCCTGAAGGACACGGAGCAGGTGAGGCTGGTCCCTCTGCTCCAACCGCTCAGTGGAGGAAAGGAGACGAAGCACGCCGCAGCCCCTGCGCATGTGAGGGTGGCCCAGAGACAATGCCAGAGGTCGGAGGAGGAGCAGGGCCAGTCCTGGGGCATTCCAGGGAAATGGCATATTGCAGGTGACATGCTGGTTGAGTTTTTAAGGAAGGGGGAGGCCACCTATGGTCAGGAGAGCATTTCAGGCGCAGGGAAGGACACACTTTCATGGAGATGGAGAAGCAGGAAGCATGTTTGTGGGGAGGGGGGAGGCTCTTCGGCTTGACGGTGGGATGTGTAAGAGGCACCAACAGGGAGAGGTGAGAGGCAGGGAATTCCCCAGAGGTAAAAGACACTGCCTCCTCCTCCTGGGATAGCAGCTCAAGCCCTGTGCTGCCCGGGACCCAGCCGAGCAGACAGAAGGGAGCATGCAGGAGCATCCTTCTAGGGGCACCCTGAGTCCAGGGGGTTCCTCTATCCTCACCCCAGCCCTGGTTGTGAATCCCCCAAAGAAAGCAGGCAAAATGGAAGACGAACCTGGGCCACGGTGATATATTTCCAGCACGCTGCTTCACCTGTCCACAGGCAGTGGACACAAAGGAAGGGGGTGTAGGGTTGGTGCACCAGGCTGGTGGGGCCCTGGCTCCCCTCGGGCTTGGTCCCTGACTTGCTTGGTCTTCCGATTAGCTACTTCCCATCTCTTGGGATATCAATTTTTCTGACTTGCATTGTCCTGATTGGTTAGGAAAGAGGCCTCCGAGTTCTTGAATGACAGTCTCTTCCCTTCGCATGTGCCTGACCCATCATAGGTAAGAGCAAAGGGGCCCTGAGAAGCCAAGCTTGTCCCCGGCACCGAGAACAGTCTGCAAGTTGCTGCTGCAGCCTGCCCAGTGCCCAAGCTCCCAGCCTGCCAGCTCTGGCATTCTGCTCCCCTAAGTAGTCCTGGCCTGGGGTGGTCAGTCCCTGAGGCTCAGAGACCTCTGCATGACCATGTGATCCCTGGCTTCGTGGGGCTCAGGGCCCTTTCCTGTAGGGCCATTTGGCACATGGACATCCCTGTGTACCCTTCTTTTTTATTGCATTTTGGGTTTTGGGGTACATGTGAAGAACATGCAAGATTGTTGCATAGGTGCACACACGGCAGTGTGATTTGCTGCCTTCCTCCCCTTCACATATATCTAGTATTTCTCCCCTTGCTATCTCTCCCCAACTCCCCACCCACCACTGTCCCTCCCCTATTTCCCCCTGACAGACCCCAGTGTGTGATGCCCCCGTCCCTGTGTCCATGTGTTCTCATCGTTCAACACCCACCTATGAGTGAGAACATGCGGTGTTTGATTTTCTGTTCTTGTGTCAGTTTGCTGAGAATGATGGTTTCCAGGTTCATCCATGTCCCTACAAAGGACACTTCTTTTGAATGACCTCGAGAAGGGTTCGGTTTTTCCTTCTCTTACAGGCAGGATGGAAGACGCTGCCTTGCATGTCTCTGAAATAGGAGAAAGACCCGCTTCCCGGGGGGCCTCAATGGAAACAAAAGTCAGCCGCTGGCTCTGTGGCTGTGCCTGCCCTTCTTTCCCCAGATGGAAGGGGAGAGAGAGAGGCACGGAAGACAGGTGCAGCCTGGGGGTGAGGGAGCGCCTGGAGGCGTGGGGTGGGAGACGGAGGTGGTGGGGAAACAGCTTTCCTCCTCCCGGGGGTCAGCAGCGATTCATCCACAGGCACCGTTTTCCACTGAAATGTGAGCACGGACAGGGTGAGCACAGCCCTCGCAGTGGCCGTGGTGCCTCTGGTGTGCGCCTGTGTGTGCTGCTGCCGCTGTCATCACAGATGCACCCCAGCTGTCACTCCCCGCTCTGCTCCGGCTTGTTGCTCGCGCACACGCGCGCGCTCTCCTCCCTCGCCCCTTTCTTCCCTCTCTTCTCTCTCTCTCTCTCTCCATCCCTCTGTTTCCTTCTCAGTTTGTGACTGACCCAGCAGCCCCGTACCCTGTCTGCTGCAAGCAGTCCACCTCCTGGTGCTGTGTGCTGTGTGCCAGCCCCTGCTCCTGCTGAGTGGAGACTCTGGCACCAGTGCCCACTGCGCTCTGCCTGCCGGTGGTGTCTGGATTTCTCCAGGAATCCCAGGAGGGTCTCACTGGAGGATTGAGAGCCACCTGATTGAAGGCGTTTGTGGTCAGAGTAAAGACGGGTAAGTGCTGAGCGGCTGGTGGGAAGGAATGGAGGGTTGGTGTGGACAACGGGTGGTGGGGCATGGGAAGAGGGGACCGGCCATCTCTTTGCCCTGCAGGAATAGCTGCAGTTGCTTTATACCTGGGGGCAATTGCTGGGGCTGAAGAAGCTGCTCCGGCTCAGGCATCTGAGCATCCCAAAGGTGCACGACACTGGGAACTCTGATCCCACAGTGCTGGGGACAAGAGCTGTGGATCCTGCTGGGAAGCGGGAGGAGGGCAGCGCTGGTGCCAGATGACAGCCCCGGGTGGCATGGAAACCGGTCCCTGCAGCATGCAAGAAGCAGCCAGGAGCCTTGTGCTGTCCGTGTGTCTGGCTCCGCACAGACAGCCCCAAGAAACTCGGGCGGCAAGGGAAGCGGGTGGGACGGCGGCGGCCGGGTGCTAGGAACAGATAAGAGGAAGGCTTGGGGTGGAGGGTGGCAAGGTGGAGGGTCTGGGTGTCTGAGGCATGGGCACAGACCCGGGCACTGGGCCTCCCTACAGGCTGCCTGCAGGTGGCTGTCCTTGGACAAGGGTGGAACCCTCCCCCAGATGAACACAGGTCCACTTGGCTATGCCTGAAGCCTCCCAGGTGAGGGTGAGGCTGGGAGTGGGCAAGAGAGAGAAGCCCTTCCCTGCTAGCCCAAGGGCAAGACAGGAGAACCAGGCCTGTGAGAACCTGCTGAGGTGTCCCGCAGCTGTACACCCAGCCGTCCATCTACAAATGGGTCAAGGAGGCTTAGTGGGGGCTGTGCCCTGAGCTTGGGGGCCGGGGACCACAGCGGGACCAGGCCTGTCTGGTTTCTTGACCCAGGCAGGGGTCATGGACACGCTGAGTGGAGTGGGCAGTCGCTCTCAGTCCCCCAGGCCCATTTGGACAGCACCGGAGAGAGGGGCAGCCTGACCGGGAGTTGGAAGTTCATATTCCTGCACCTCCCCACAGGTCTGGGGCTAGCTTCCAGTTAGTGGGTCTGTCTCCCCCACCCCCAAGCTGTCCACATTTCTGGGGGGTGCTGGCACCTGGCTGTCAGGGCTCTTTGGGCAGTGCCTCTATGTGACTCAGATGACACCCCTGCAGCTTAGATAACTGCCTCAGGTGGGGGCGGGGAGGGAGCCGAGCACGTGGAGCTGAGGCGGGGGAAGTCCAGCTGGTAGGGAAACCCGACAGCAGCTTCCGAGCTGCCAAGAAGAGCCCAGCTCTTCCCACCCCCACCTCCCCACCGCAGAAAGAAAGTCTCAGCACTGCCAAAAGAGGGAGACCAGGAAAGCCAGGCCCGCGGGGAGGGGAAGGAGAGTGGTTGCTTAAGCTGCTGATCTGGTGTCTTTGGGAGTTGGCAGAAGCCTGTCTGGGCCCAGGATGAGCAAACCCTGCTCCCATTTCCCAGGCAGCAGGGCCCAGGGGCCACGTCTGGGCTGCTTTGGCCTCAGCGGGCAGTGCGGGAAGGGAGGAGGGAGTGGCGTGTATGCAGTGATTGGGGGTGTTTGGGAGCTCTGGGGGCGGGCAGAGGAGGAAGGAGCCAGCATAGAGGCTGTTTGTCCCTCTGGTCTTCCTCCTTCTTCACCCAGCCAGGCCTCCCCTGCACCTTGCCTGGGGCCACCACCTTGAGCCCAGCCCCAGGGCCCAGTGGACACCTTATATCCTTCATATTAGGGAGCAGCTCCCAGGAGGAGCCGCTGAGGTGGCTTTTCTGTTCTGCTTCCCAGAGGGTCTGTTTGGGATTGGGAATATCTGACAAGGAAACGGGAGCGCAGGAAGCTGGGGGTGAGGATGGGGCATGTGTTTTAAAATGAACCAGGAGGGCATATGTCTGTTCCAAGTACAAAACCTGCTTCCTTGCTGCCTGGGCAGTATGTGTGAAGGGGGTGATGGGCAGGGAAGAGATCTAGCATGTGTCCTAGAGGCTCTGGGTGCCCCGTGTGCAGTGTCGGGGGGAGCCCAGCCTAGACAGCAGTGGCAGCGTCCTCTGCGTCCCGGCCACATGAAATCTCTGCTGTCTTCTGAGTGGGGCTCTGGCTGCCCACTCTCTGGGCTCCCTCTCAGCCTTTCTGGGGTTGACAGAAGGGCACTGCCGCTGCAGGCCCAGGGCATGAGCCCAGTCCTGGCTCTGGTTCTCTCTGGCCTTCTGCAGAGTGAAGGGGGTGGCAGAGTGGGCTGCCAAGGTCCCTTTTACCCAAATGAGGGAACTTGGAAATGAGGAGTTCTGTGACTCTTCCATGCTGAGGGATGTGGAGGCCTTGTCCTGAATCAGGGACCCTTCACCCAGGGGAGATGCCAGTGGAGCAGGTGCATAGTAGGGCCAGCGTGATGGCCCAGGAGTCAGGAACTCAGAGGTGGAGGCCTGATGGGCATTAACTGGCTGTGTGTCTTGGACACTTGACATGGAGGGATAGACATGTGCAGACGCATCAGAGGAAGGGCACGGACACCAGGGGAGTGTGCTGGCGGTTTCCAGTGAGAGCCTGAGCCTAGATTAATTCACTTCCATCTGAGGAGGAATGTAAGGGGAAGGTGCATGGAGCATCCAGGCTCCCACCGTCCCAACCTAGCTTTCCACAGTGAGTGAGTTCGTCAGGCTGCTCCATGCCCTGAGGGGCCAGGTGGGGCGCTAGCAGGGAGGCAGCTCCCACCCCCACTCTCCAGGGTGGCTGCAGCCCACTCAGCTCCACACGTGGAACCCCCTGCTCCTACTGGGGCCTGCTGCTCCCCCATGGCCTCCCTAGCCCTGGCTGCCCCGGATCAGAGCTCCAGCCTACTCCCCTCACCTCCGAACACAACAAATCCCCCAGCCAGAAAGGTTTCTAGAAAGCTCCCTCCCCTCTCCGTATGAGCCTGGCTTCCCAGGCCTTTTTTTTTTTTGAGATGGAGTTTCACTCTTGTTGCCCAGGCTGGAGTGCAATGGCGCGATCTTGGCTCACCGCAATCTCTGCCTCCTGGGTTCAGGCAATTCTCCTGCCTCAGCCTCCCCAGTAGCTGGCACTACAGGCATGCGCCACCACGCCCAGCTAATTTTTTGTATTTTTAGTAGAGACGGGGTTTCACCATGTTGACCAGGATGGTCTTGATCTCTTGGCCTCGTGATCCACCTGCCTCAGCCTCCCAAAGTGCTGGGATTATAGGCGTGAGCCACAGCACCCTGCCTCCAGAGCTTCAAGAAGGGAGGCTGGGAAGCGGGGAACCTGGCTTGCTTGCATCTCAGTCCAGCAAGTCACAAAGCCTCTTCCTTCATCAGGTATATGGGGACAAATCAGCTGCTTTCTCAGCTCCAGCGAGAGTGGACCAGGCAATGCTGTGGGCACTGCAGAGGACCACTCAGAGGAAAGGCGGCATCTTCCTTTCCTACCTCTGCCTTTCCTGTACCAGTAACCTCCGAGTGTAAGCAGACAACTGAGTTAGGAGCCAGAGAGCTTGGGCTCAGCGCCGTGTGAGTCCATTTGCTTAATTTTAGGCGAGTTACTTAATTTCCTGTGCCTCAATTTCCCCCATCTGCAAAATAATAGTAACAAGAACACTAACCTCAGAGAGTTGTTACAAGGATTAAGAGCACTCCACAGGTCTGTGACTGTGACAATTGTTTCTCCCCAGGTCCCAGTTAGCTTCTCAGTGTGTCCTGGAGGCTCAGGGACAGGCCAGCATGATCTCCTTGGTGGCCGTTTGCCCTGCTGAGAGGTGCGGACTAGTAGTTATCAAACGCGAATATGCATGAAAGTCGCCTGGGGAATCTCGTTAAAATGCAGATTCTGACTCACTCACTCTGGATGCTACCTGAGACGGCCTTCCTACCAGGCTCCCAGGCTAGACCAATGCCGCTGGTCCGTGGACCACGTTCTGTAGCCCTGTGTTTCTGGTGCTCCAGAGTTTCTGGTGCTCCTCAAAGCCCCATGTTTCTGGTGCTCCAGAGTTCCTCATTGGGCAGCTTTGAGCTCCTGAGCCCCATTCTCCAATCCTGGCTCTCTCTGGAAGGGAGACCAGGGACTCCATGGAGGCCTAACCCCTTATCTTTGGCCTCCCTGTCTCTAGGACTGGGTTAGGAGCAGGCCCAGCATCCATAGGGAATGAGGCCATGGGACCTGGAGAGAGATCTGGCTGTCCCCCACGCTGCACCCTGGGTGGGGACTTCCCTCCCAGACTGTGAATTGATTTCAGCAGCTGTCAGCGCCTGCTGCAGCAGCTGCTCTCCAAGCTTCCTAATGTAGGTCACCCCCTTTCCTTAAGGAAGCTCCACTCTTCTGGGGGTGGGAAGGGTCCTTTGGATGGAGGTGTGTTGGTAGGCGGAGGCTAAGGAACTAGAAAGTGCTGGCTGCAGCCCCACCTCTCCCTAGGAGTCCTTCTGTGGTGCCACACATGTATGCCTGGCCTCCCCTGTGAGCTGCACTGTTCTTCCTGCTCTCGGGAAGGCTCTTCCAGCAGGAAGCCCAAGGGACCCATTGGCAGGATTAGCTGCTCAGAGAGCACAGGGCATATCTACGTGGACCTGGGGGGCTTGCTTTTCTCTTGACGCTACCAGGATCAATAGCGTCCTGCCACACACCTGCAGGTCTGCATTGTGGGGACTTGCCTGACTTGTGCAGGTGACATCCCATTTGAGGCTGGGGATGGGACATCCAGATCTGCACAAGAGGCCACCTTCACCAGCCTGTTTGCTGGTCAACCCCTGGGCTCACAGTGGGGGAGACACTGAGGGACAGGAAGGGGTGGGGTGCAAAAGAGGAATCTGCCCAGAGGAGACAGAAACCTTAGGTGGAAAATGGCCTGAGGTTACACATCCGTCTACTGGGGAAATTTGGGAACGTAGAGGCATCTCATCAGCTGCTTGAGTGTTGGCATTTGAGAAGTGCTGGGGTGCTGCCAGCAAGGTGAGAGTGTGCATGTGTGCAGGCATGGGGGCACATGTGTGTTAGCACATGCCTAGCTGCACAGCTCTCTGTGGGTGTGTGTTTGCATCACGTGCTGTGTACAGGGCTCCAAGCACATGTCCGGGAGGCCTGTGTGTGTGCCCTGCTCTGTGCACACGTAAGTATCTCCCTAAAAGGGTCACTGCTGGGTGACAGTCTACAGGGAGTCAGAGCAGCCTGGCTCAGAAACCTGCAATCCAGTCCCTGACTTACCATGCGACCTTGGGCAAGTGATCATTGTCTCTGAGCCTTGGGTGGCCATGGACCATGAGCTCTTGTTATGGGCATTCTCGATTGAGTAGGAGAGATTGTTCTGAAGGTCAGGGCTTGAGGGACAGACAGCAGGGGTGCTGCTGTTTGAAGGCAGGACTATGAAGGCCATGGGTGTGGGGCAGAAATACATAGACTCCACAGGGCCGGGGTGCTCAGAAATGAGAAATAACGTTACGTGTGAGGTTGGTGGGACTGGGAAAGAAAGCTGTCACATAGACCTGCTGCTGACACCCCTCTCCCTTGAAGGGAGGAACTACTGCTCCTCACGCCTGTTTTGGGCTCAAGTCCAAGCTAGGAGTAGGAGCCTTTGCCTGAATTTCCATGGGGATGTGCCTTGAGTGTGTCAATTCTCCTCCCTTCACTATATTGATCTTCATAGAAATTCCACCAATCAGGTATTGTGGTCACCACTTCTAGACGTAAAGAAGCTGAGGCCAAGAGAGTTTGTTTAAAGAAGTGGCCAGACAGGGATTTGAACCCAGAGCCCCTACCCCTGCCAATAGGCACCAGGAGCCCACTGGGACCTGGCCTTGAGACAGTGGTTAGAGAACCGTGACGGCGCCACTCTCAGGGGCTCCTGCACCCCTCATGCCAGGGACACAAGTTCACCCGAAGGCTGCATGGGGACCTGGGCTGCCTGCAACTCCACATAGTGCCCAGCCTTGTGACCCCTCTGCCCGCCCCTGCAGGGCCCTCGGCGGGCTGGCACCCTCGCTGTGTGGGGGAAGGGGAGGAAAGACAGCCAAGAGGGCAGATCTCCGTTCCTAAGCAGGCTGCCCTTGCTGGGGGCAGAGCCGACTGTCCTGTTCTAACTGGGCACTGCTGTGGCCGCCTGAGGAGCACCCGAGGAGGGAGGGGCTGAGGGGAGCAGAGGGGAGAAGATGGGGCAACAGGGTTCGCAGCAGCAGGACCCTAATTTCCGAGGGGAAACCTGCACGAATGGGCCGAGATTTCCGGGCTCAGCACTCAGGCTTCTTGGCGGCTCCATCCACCTACGGGGCTGTCAGCTCCACTCTGGTATTGATATCAGCCCCCAGAATTGCATAGGCCCATGGGGGCAGGGAGAGGGAGGCTGCAACCAGGAATCACCCAGGGACAAATCTGGCAACCAAAGAAGGTCAGGGGCTGGGAGCTGCCCGGTTCAGGGAACCTGTGGAGTGCAGAGAGGGGTGTGGGCACTTCCCTCCCGGCCCTGTCCCCTCCAGCTGCAGCAGGTAAACACATGGCAGAACCCTGTCCCCTCTCTGATGGGCTGGCAGCCTGGGCTTCCCATCTGGAAGGAAGTGGAGACCCCAGCACACAGCCTGTGTCCCAGCTGAGAGACACTGGGGGGCAGACCCTAGAAAGGGTAAGTGCCCCCTTGGCCCCTCGGAAGGAAGCCTGCTCCTGCACCCTGGCCGCCTCAGGGCCCTGCTCTGTGATCTCACCTCTCCTCCGTGCCCCTGTCTCTTCCTAGCAGCTGCTGCAGCATGAACCCCTGAGCTGATGAGTCTTATTATAGCCCGGCTGGCGGAAGACAGAGCGCTGCTATTCACCTCTGCGAGGGCGGCGGCAGTGCAGGGGGAAGCGGCAGGCCACCCAGTGGCTCACACCCTACGTGGCTGCAGCTGCCAAGGGCCTGGACCCTGTCTCCCTGGGGCCATGGTGAGCTGTGATGGGGCTGCAGAAACTGGGACCCAGGTGAGGGGAGCCTCTAGGGACAGGTGACAGCTGTGGCCTGTGACTTCACTGCTCACCTCGGAGAGACAACCTTAGTTTCTCCACCCGTAACTCAAGGAATGCCTAGATGGGAGACCATGTTGCCATGAAAACATTTGAGTGATCAACATACTCCAGAGGCAACAAGAAGGCGGTGGAGGCTGGGTGGACACTCGGGTGCGCCCCCTGCCTGGCAGCACTATGCCCGCCCTCACCTTCGGGCTCCTGGGAAGCTGAAACCTGCCCGCCCCCACCCCAGGGGGTTGAAGGTTTCCTGGCTCCTCTCCTTCTGCTCCCTGGCTTCTTTTCTTCCCCAACCCAGGGAATCATAACAGAGGAACAGGAGAGGGCATGAGGAGTGTAAAGAGACACCCGGGCCCTCTCCCTAACCCTTGGGTTGGAACGGGGCTCCCACGCCTGCCTGGGCTCAGTGCTCCTCCCTCCCTCAGGACTGACAGGCGGCGCACCCAGGGGCTCCTCTCCCTCCAGAGCGACAGGGCCCGGAGAGCCATGGGCCTCACCATGATGGCACCGGGCAGCAGCCCTGAGCAGAGGGGCAGGCTTGCCCTGCAGCTGAGGCAGGTGTCCTGTGAGTACAACCCTGGCCCGGAGGAGGGTGCAGGTGGGGTGGGGGTGCTAAGGTGACCATGGGTGGCAACACTTAGGCTGCAGGGAGGCCTAGGCCAGATCTTCCTGGGATGCCCGAGGCCACGTTTTGGGAAGCCAGGTCATGCCCATGGTGACAGCATCCCCGCCAGTCAGAGTCACTGCAGAGTGCTGAGCGGTTAGACTCGTTCTACCTCCCCCAGGTAAGTCTCTGTCACCTTGCTGGGGTCCCCGATAAGAAAAGAGCTCTGCTGGAATGTAGGCCTGCTGAGTCTTACCCAGCCTCACTGAGGCCTGAGCTCGCCAGCCTGAGCTTGTTAGCCTGTGTTTCACAGACCGTGGTGAGCCCTGTTGTTCCCATGGGGAACTGCCCCCTTGGCTGGCCTCCGCCAGGAGCTGGGTTAGCTTGGAGATGTCTCTTATGCTCCTCATGCCTCTGCTTTCCCACCTCTCAGTAGAGAACCTAGTGGGCTCTTGGGATGTGGTGCTGGAAGAGACTTTGGGGTGTGGGCCTAGCCCCTCCTGCATGTGGGCAGACTGAGCCCTCCATTTACCAAAAAGGAGAGGAAGTGTGAATGAAGGCAACGCTTGGCAGCTGTCAGCATGAAAGGAGCCCTGAGAATTCTCTTTATATGTGTCAAAGGGACAAGGTCAGCAGGGGCTGGTCTGCCCAAGGCTAGACGGTGGTAGGGAGGAGATGGTCCTGTGGGACAGCCTTCCGCCTGACTTCCCGCTGTGGCCAGCCCTGTGATACGGCGTCTCACAACACGGGCAGCCTGAATTATTCACCATGTGAGAGGCTGGCCCCTGAGTGACTCAGATCTCCTTTCAACCTCATTCTAGAATCACTCAACACCTCGCAATACGGGATTATGTTTTCTTGTCACTGGAGCTTTCATGCCACCCTGGTCTCCTGGAGGGGTGGGCAGGCGGAGGGCTGCTCTTCTCCAGCAGCTCTCTTGGCCCGCTGTCAGCCCCTTCTCTGGGCGGGGTGAGTGGCTTCTGGTGATGCTGATCCTTTGAGAGGGAAGCTGAATGGGTTGAATTTTTTTCCTGGGGAAAGTCAAGTCTGAAGAATGCTGATTTTCAAATGGCTTGGGGTGGTGGTGTAGAGCCAGATGATCTGGCAGCAGATGGGCTTAGAGGGGTGAGAGGCTGAGCCGTGACATGAGGTGACCCCAGATGGCCAGAAAGGGTCTCCCCAGTGGGCTTCAAGGGCTGTGCCTGTGCCTGTGCTCACTTCCCCCCGAGAACAGCAAGGCCCACTGTTAGGGTGCAGGGAGGCCTAAGCCAGATCTGACACGTGGCTCTCAGCTGTCATCGACCCTCCATGCGGGGGAAGCGAAGAGTCTCATCCTGTTCCTTTGGGACACCAGATACCCAGGCCCCTATTGGACAGAGACTCAAGGCTGTCCCACCCAGGCACCCAGGTGGGGGTGGGCCGATGGCTGTGAGCTGGATCTGAACTTTTCTACCAATTCTCTGGCTGGGGTCTTTCCTCTGGGCTGGGTGGAACTGACCTTGGCTGAGCTGACCTGATGGGGCTGAGCTATTCTGAGTGCTTCCCAGTTCCTTTTCACCAGCCTTCTCTGCTCCTCAGAAGGACACTTAGGGGTTTTTAAGGCCACTACTGGAAAGGGCCAATCTGCAATGGAAGGACTGCTCTGGTGTGATTGTTCCCCGAGGGTCACTCCCTCCAGCCCTGCAGATGGGACCCCAGGCTCGCTACGCAGAAGGGTCTTGGGCAAAAGATGGGACCAGGAAAGGAACTCTGTGAATCGAGCCATTGTGCATGAATGCTGCCCTGCAGCCCCTAAGAATAGAAGCCCAGGCTGAGATCCTGGATGGCTTTAGGGTGGGGGTCAACTTTAGGGTGGAACTTTTCCTGGGCCGGTGATTTGTCAATGCTGAAGTGGATTTGTGCGTCTTAGCCTGTCATTCCCACAGTGGGATCCTAGGCGCACAGCCTGGGCTCTAAAGCCTCACGTCAGGTTGCTGGCGTCATCTTGGGTGTGGGGTTCACGGAAAAGTAACAGCACCTGGGAAACTGTGAAGGACAGGGCTAGGAGTGCCATTTTGTGCTCTCGCCTTTCCATACACAGCCTGTCTTCAGTGCAGCTCCAGAGTCGGGGTGGGTCGCAGAGGGAAGGGAGCCAGCAGCCAGGCCATTTTCCTTGGGAAAGAGAAATTGTCCCGGCAGAGACACTGGGAGAGGGCATGAGAGCGGGTTTCCCTGACAACCTTATCTCCTTTATTTTATCAACATCCATGGTGTCAGTGGGACCCAAGCTCCCCAGGAGCTGACTGTGGGAGGCCCCGTGAGCTTCCCATCGCTGTGCACCAGGGTGGCTCGTCCTCTGGGCCCTGGCTGAGTCTGCAGAGTCGTTCTCCACTCAAGTGATTTCTGTGCCAGATGTGTGGCAAGGCAGGGCACCCTGCAGACACTGTGTGATGCCCATTAATATGGAAGTAGCTTTGGATTTGTTAATTATCCTTTTATGTGGTTAATAAATGTTTATGCATTGATTGTGGTTTGTGCCAAAGGAGATAAAGCCAAGAGCCTGTTATGATATGAGCTAGAAAGGAGGGGAGAGAAGCGGGAGGTGGTGACCTCGCCTGTTGCTTTCTTTCCCCCGTCTGTCCCTTCCATCAAGGGATCACCTGCTGGATCGCCCTGTATGCAGTGGAGGCCCTCCCCACCTGCCCCTTCTCCTGCAAGTGTGACAGCCGCAGCCTGGAGGTGGACTGCAGTGGTCTAGGCCTCACTGCGGTGCCCCCGGATGTGCCTGCGGTCACCCGAACCCTCTTGCTCCTGAACAATAAGCTGAGTGCCCTGCCAAGCTGGGCTTTCGCCAACCTGTCCAGCCTGCAGCGCTTGGACCTGTCCAACAACTTCCTGGACCAGCTGCCCCACTCCGTTTTTGGGGACCTGACCAATCTGACCGAGCTGCAGCTGCGCAATAACAGCATCAGGACCCTGGACAGAGACCTGCTGCGGCACTCCCCAATGCTCCGCCACCTGGACCTGTCCATCAACGGCCTGGCCCAGCTGCCCCCTGGCCTTTTTGACGGGCTCCTGGCTCTGCGCTCCCTCTCGCTTCGCTCCAATCGCCTGCAGAACCTGGACCGGCTGACGTTTGAACCCCTGGCGAACCTGCAGCTGTTGCAGGTGGGGGATAACCCCTGGGAGTGTGACTGTAACCTGCGTGATTTCAAACACTGGATGGAGTGGTTCTCCTACCGAGGTGAGCACAGCTGGCCCTGCTGGGGCCTGAGGGATTGGGAGAATCACCCCTGGACCCACACTTTCCTCCTGGTGGCTGGACGCTGACTCAGAGAGCAGGCCAGGGGAAAGAAGGGGGCGACCTTGCCTCTGTGCCAGCTCGGCTAGAAGAGTCACAAGCCTTCCCTCAGATGATGAGCCATCACCCTTCCTGCCAGTGGGAGACAGGCTGGTGCTGCTCCCTCCACCCACCCTCCCCTCCCCGATCTGCATCCCCTCCCCCAGCCAGCTCCCCCCTTCCTCCTAGGAGGACTCGCTGAACTTGATCTCCCTTTTGTAGGTTACATAAGGGAAGTAGAGACACCTGGGCTATCCCACTAGGTTTGCCTGTGGGCTTCCCCAGTGTGGTGGAAGGAGGGAGAAAAACAGCTCTTCTTCTGAAGAATACAGCCGCCTCTTAAACATCTGCCCTTACAGGAGAGGGGATAGAATGAATCCTCAGTAAAGCCAAATCTTCCTTTTGGTGGCACTGCCAACTTCCTCTCCCAAGAAGTTTTGTTATCCAAATTTCAAGAAGAAGTCAAATGGGTTAGGCTTTACTTTCTTTCCTTCCCTTTTTCTTTAACGTGGGAAAGTACCAAAATGACTTATGAGATGATCATGTGACAGGAAAGGAGGGTAGTCAAGATGGTGGTGAGGAGGGCCAGACCCTGGTCTGAATTTCGGCTCTGCCACCTGCTAGCTGTGTGATCTTGAGAAAGCTGGTTACCCTCTCGCTGTGGCAGGGCCTTGTCTGGAAAGTGGGAAGGAAACAATATCCATCTCATAGGGTCATTGTCAGGATTAAATGCGGCAATGCACAGAACGTGGCTTGAGAGGTGCTTCACAAAGTAAGACCTCAACAAAACGTCCATGTATCTGTTCACGTGCTGGTAGCGATCAAATACTAAGTGGGCTTGAAACACCATTTGGTGCCCAGCACAAAGTAGGTGCTCAGTGAATGTTTGCTCAATATTTAAGCTGTGAAAATGATGCCAGTGGTTTTCGCTGAAGTCTTACTACTTTTGTTTCATCTCCAGCCACAATTTCAAATATTTCCACAAAATTCCTTGCATTAGTTAACTAAAAATGTTTTACAAACTATAAAGTGCCACAAAATGTTAGTCACTGTGATCATTTCTCCCATTTTCATGAGTGTGGAAATGATGATTACTACTTGCATGTTTCCAGTTTACCAATGTCTTTTCATGTACATTATTTTAATCCTTACATCAGCTAATTGAGATAGACCTTCTTATGTTACAGTTAAGAAAACTAAGACTCATATGTAATTAAATGAATTAAATAATTTTCACAAGATGGCACAACCAGGATTCAAGCTTGGGTCTTCTGAGCAGGGAAATGAGGCTGCACCTGTCAGCACTCAGCTCTGCGTTCCCAGGCAGCCCCACTGATACATGTCCCTGGGATGTGAGGTTTGCTGCAGGCCACCCAGGCATCAGCTGCACAGGGGAACCAGGCCACGTGTCTGCACACCCTCCCCCCCTATGGTCGCCAGAAACTGAATTCCCAGCACAAAAAGGCATGCCATGAGATTGTGCATTTTTCAGACTTTTTCAATAGCAGAGTTGCTTTCAACCTTGCATTTTTAAAAACAAAATCCTGGAATATTTCCATCAGCATCCCCGGGAAGGATTGATGCCTATTGTAGGAAGAGACTTGCGGCAGATGGGCTGCAGAGGGAGCTGGCAGTGACAGAGAGGCTGCAGCCCGAATCTCTTCAGCAGGGGGTCTAATGCCTACGTCTAGATTTCACTGGAAGCTGAAAGAGGGCCAGAATCCAACTTTCACTTCCTAGGGGACATCTAGGCGGGTTTTTGTCCTCAGCCACCCTCTCTCTTACCCTATTCTGTCCTGCATCTGTGTCTCTCCATGTCTGAGCCAGGCTCCACCATCACCATGAAGACGTCACGGTGAGCCCATGCGCCTGTGTACCCACACCTCCTCATCAGCACCAGCCTCCTCCCCTTGGCCTAGTGTATCTCCAGGGTTCCCCCTCCAGGTCCCTTTGTATTCACAGGGCTGTGGTTGGGACACTGATGGGGACACTGGATTGCTCCTAAGGAGGAAAAGGAGAACATTCCTGCCCGACTCTCTTCCTCCCTACACCAAGAAGGGAGCTGCCCATTCTTAGGCAACCAAAAGGTCCTGCATGGAGGGGCAGTGGCAGAGGCAGTGGGTTTGACTTTTGTCCTTTGTGTGAGAGGGAAGAACCCTAGAGGGATAAGATGCTGTGTTGAGACGGTGTCCTGGGCTCACCGACAGGCGATGAGCAGGCAGATTCCAGGGCAGAGGGTGGCAGGGACACTCTGCTCTCCACAATGACAGCCCTTTCCTGAGCACCTCCCATTTAGCTCTGCCTTACTCTGTGGGTCAGTTTGGCCCAGGAGAGGACAGGCTGGATGGAAGTGGCTGCATGCTTCTCTATAAAATGGGAATAATGACAATATCCATTTCACATGGCTTCTGTGAGAATGAAATGGCACGATATACGTAACTCACTGTGGACTTGGCTCAATCAATGCTGTTTTCCCTCCTCCGCTTCCTCTTCTATAGATGGCGATTCCAGGATTGACTACATTGCTGATAAAAACTACCTTCTGGGGCTTCCATTTTGGGGAGCTGGGGATGGGGAAAGGGAGTGGAAGTTCTGAGCCCCTGGACAGCCCCTCTTTTTTCTCCTGCATGCAGGGGGGCGCTTGGACCAGCTTGCCTGCACCCTCCCCAAGGAGCTGAGGGGGAAGGACATGCGCATGGTCCCCATGGAGATGTTCAACTACTGCTCCCAGCTGGAGGACGAGAATAGCTCAGCTGGGCTGGATATTCCTGGGCCACCCTGCACCAAGGCCAGTCCAGAGCCTGCTAAGCCCAAGCCCGGGGCTGAGCCGGAGCCGGAGCCCAGCACAGCCTGCCCCCAGAAGCAGAGGCACCGGCCGGCGAGCGTGAGGCGAGCCATGGGCACAGTGATCATCGCAGGGGTCGTGTGTGGCATCGTCTGCATCATGATGGTGGTGGCTGCTGCCTACGGCTGCATCTATGCCTCCCTCATGGCCAAGTACCACCGGGAGCTCAAGAAGCGCCAGCCCCTGATGGGGGACCCTGAGGGTGAGCATGAGGACCAGAAGCAGATCTCTTCTGTGGCCTGAGTGCCCATCCCCACCTGGCCAGGTAGGAAGGGCAGGGAGAGCACACCGCATTGCTCTGCCATAGCCCCCACCTTGACATGGCGCTGGCCACTGCTTCCCCCAGTCCACTCTCCTCCCCACCCTCCAGCAGACAAGCCACAACAGGCTTTCTCCCTGCACTTCCAAGGCTCCCTAGAAGCCACAGTGCTGGGGGCTCCTGCTGATGCTCCTCTCTGGGCCAGTACATCTTTGGAACATCTAGGGGATCTCCCTAAGCTCTGGCCACAGCAAAGCAAGGAGGTGTGTGCAAGAGGAGGCTTCCAGGCTGGGCGTTCCCCTGTCGTCCTTCCTGCCCGGGGGCGGCCACAGCTGGTGACTTGTCCTACCTTGCTGGTCACACCTCACCTGCATTGAGGGGACAGGGAAGGAGGAATCTGAGGGATGGGGTAGATTTCTGAGACTCTCTCCTGAGCCAGAAAGACGTTCTTAACACCCCTGCAGTAACAAACCTGGTCCAGCTCTACAACTGCTGGCACCAATGTGCAAACACACCAGCCCTGCCATCTGGACCCAGCACTCAGAGAAACCATACACCCCTGGCCGATGCCATCAAGCCCCTGGATCTGCTATAGGCCACACTGACCACATGCTCCTGGATTCACTAGTTCACTCACACACACCCTTTGTGTCACCAGTGCAGTCACATGGATTGAAAGAATACACACACACACACACACACTCTCTCTCTCTCTCTCTCTCTCTCTCTCACTCTCACTCACTCACACAGTCATGTGGAGACCAAGGCTATGAGCACTGGGACAGCAGAGACATACTCTTCCCTGGGGTTCTCCCTGAGACCACAGAGCCTCTGGCTTGCTCACTGCAATTTTCTCAAGTCAACAGAGGGAAGGAACCCAACCAGTAACACCAGGATCCTTTGAGATCCTCCAAAGTGGGCCAAAGTGGTGCCACTGGAGGAGACTTCCTGTCACCATGGTAACCCACTCACACCTCTCCTGCTAGGCTTTCCCGGGATACCACCCAGGGGCCTGGAGCAGCTGCATGTGCACATGGCGGCCTCCTGAGAATCCAGCCACACACCACTGGTGTTGCCTCGGTCCTGCCCATGCACATCACAGCGCCAGGCCCCGGGGGCCCCCCGCCAATTCCTCCACAGCCTGCAGCCTGGCACTGTGACTCTGTACCTCTCCCCCTCCATCTTCAGCACTCTTGGCCTGTGACTTCAGGGCAGGGACTTGGAGGTGCTTTGCCATTGGTGGCATCCTTTGGGGAAAGCAGGTGGCAGGCAGAGAACACGGTGGCTCTCCTGAGGCTCATTGCCTGCTAGCTCATCCCAGACAGACTCCATGAGCGGGAGGGGTGGCCACATGCTGCCCAGAGGCTCCGAGGATGGGGTTTCTGTTCCTGGGTTTCGTCTGCTCAGTGTGGCTCTCCAGAGCACTTCATGGCACCTGGGTGGGGTCCAAACCAGAGGGTGGGCGGGGAGCCTGCCTGGGACGGAGCCACCTGCTGCCAAGACATGGAGGTTTTCAGGGTCACTCATCCCCCTCCCGAGCCCCGCCCCTCCTCGGAGTGTGATGGTGGTGGGTACCTAGGTGTCGTGCTCACAGGCTCAGCAGGTGTCAGGCTTGTCTCTGGCTCTTGGGTGGAATCTCGATGGGGGCTCAGGAAGAGACCAGCCAGAACCCTGAAGCCAAGGGGCTGAGTGGAGAGAGTTGGCAGGCCTAGTTTCTGTGTCCTCCTCCAACCCTTCCTGCTTATGCGGCCATGGGTGGGTGAGGTGGGCTGGGGGCCAGGAGGAGTGCCTTTGAGAAGGTTGGTCCTGGCAGGTGGACAGAGGGCACCTGGCATGGGCTGCTTACTGGGACCCCAGGCCACCCTAGCCTCAGTCACAGTCTTCCTTCTTTTGGTGTGCAGGCTGATACCAGATCTGGGGATTTTCTAAAGGGACTGTGGGGAGGGGAGGGCATTGTCAATGGTGGTATCTTTAGCCTGAGACAGAAGATTTTTAAAGGCAAAATTATATTTCTGGTTTGTTGTTTCAGAAGAATAATAAAGACTGTATTTTCCTACGTACTTCCTGGTTTCATTGGGTGGGAAGGGGTCTTGGGTGCTGGGAGAGTCGCTGCCTGTCCCCACCTCCCCAGGGGGCTGGACAAAGCGCGGGTGGCCATGACCATGGTGCACAGAGCTCTGACAACAGATGGTGCCTCCTGCCCAGGGCCGGGGCTTGGGGAGAGCTGAGGCTGAGTCCTGGATCAGTGAGGGCCTGTGGCTGGGGGCAGTGAGCTCATGGCCTGGCAGCGCCGGGATGGTACATCCTCCCTGGCCTGACAGGCAGGTTCCTGAGCTCCAGGGCAGCTTTGCTGGGCAGCACCGCGGCTGTGGTGTGAAGGTGAGCTGGGGAGCCGACCAGGGCCCGAGCCTTGCGGATGCTGCCCATCTACCCAGGCTTGACATGAATCAGCCCTGGCAGCCAGGACAGACAGGCCCGTGTGGCGAGAAGGCAGTGTTCGCCCAGAGGATGCCGCCGCACAGGGGAGGGGAGGGCATTGAAGGGGCGTCTACTGCCTGGGTTCTGTCAGCCTCACTAGATGCTGGTGGGGCTGGCGGAGAGGAGGAGCCTGTTCAGGGCTGACTCAGGGGCCTGAAAACCACACTCTGGGCCTGCAGAGTGAACCCTTCACGGGGCTCAGCAGGTGGGCCCTGGAATCACAGACTGGAGGGCTGGGGAGTGAGGCACAGAGGACAGGGGATGAGGAAGAGCATCAGGCCTCTGGGATGGTGGGCATGCTGCAAGCCCCAGTGAAGAGCAGGGCTCAGTGCTCGGCCTGAGAATCCCCTCTGGGGCTGGGCTGGCCGCTGGCTCACCGGGTCTTGGCTATATGGTTCATTAGTCTTCAGAGGCCAAGGCGGAATTGTCTCCTTCCTAGGACCTTTCTTTGGATAACAACCCAGCAAGCCAGGAGCAAACCCTGGAGGGAGGTGAGCCATCAGGGTCCCTCTGGAGTTCAGCTTCACTCCATGGCAGAGCTGGGGTGTCCGCCCTCCCCAGACAGTGATAAGTATAGAGTGTTGCTATCCTGTAGCCCTAATGATTATAGCAGGGCACAAGGCAAATATTTCCGAGCTCCAGTGCAGAAGCAAGAACTGGGCCCTCCCAGGCCTGGTACAGGTCTCTCATGCATATGTGTGTTATTCAAATGTCATGGTTCCCAGACAGAAGCCCTCAAAGGTCTGAAGGCTGGACCTATACTGAGGCCGACCTTTTGGGAGGGGAGTCTCTTGCAGCCCCAGCTGGCAGGAAGGGACTCCGTGCAGGGGCTAGTGTACATTCCAGGTCATGCTGGAAAAACGCCCGTCTGCTGGACAAATGCTCGCCCAGTACAGCCCCACCATCCTGGAGCTTGACCTCACCCCTCACCTAGGGCCTGAGGACATGGAGAGTTGAAAACAGGTCCCGATCCAAAAGTTGGCTATTTGGAAATTTTACAGGAGCTGTCAATAAACCACCTGATTAGAGATAAACACGATCTCTCCTGGTCCACTGCCTTCTGTGTGAGCTGGCGGCGTTATCCACGGCAGTGACGCGCAGCACGCTGCTGACCCCGAGGCTGGCTGAGTGCCCGTCTCCTACCTTTCCCTCGTGTCAGCACACAATCGCCACCATGCACCCCCCACCACAGACACCACACTCAGCAGGCCTGGTGCTCACATGCTCACAGTGCTAGCCGTTTCCAGGGACAGCAAATGAACCACCTACCCTCCTTCAGCTACAGGCTCCAGCTGGCCCCAGGATCAGGGAGGCTGAGCTACAGGCCAGGGAAAGGAAGTGACAGAATGAGACCAAAAGAAAAATCATAATTGAAGTATCAAGTCTCCAGCACCCCATCATTTTCCTCTGGCATTCATGCACCCCGGAATGTAAGAGCGATTGTCTGCAGTGAGTTAAACCGGAGGCACTGGGACACTGTTTCTATGGCAACCCCTCTCGGCTCTAATTCAGCTCTGAGTTAAAAATGCTGTCAAATAATTGGAGAGTGCAGGAAAGCACAGCCAGCAGCCTGACCCCCTGTCCCGTCTCTTTCCTAGACCTCCAGGTGTACAGAAGCGGAGAAGGCCCCTGTCGCGTGGGAGCTGCACAGCATGGGCTTGGCTGGGAGCACAGAACAGCCTGTAGGGAGACGATTTGAGGTCAAAGTTTGGCCCGGAAATTGGGTCTGGGTTCAGTGTGCCCTGGGCCAAGGGAAGCATGGCAGGCAGGAGGGCACAAATCCCTTCCAAGTGCTGCAGGTGGCCGCATCGCAGACCACCAGTGACAAGCGGGTTTCCACCTGAGACTGTTCGGCAATGTCGGCTGGAGCTGTCCACCCCCCATTGCTTATCCCAGAGTGGCACACAGCCCAGGACCCCAACTCAGGACAGCCATGGTGTCCTCTGTGAGGCAGGAAGACAGAGCCCAGCTGGCTCTTTCCATCCCCTTTGCCCTGGCCCTGTCTGCTCTGCCCCGGTCCTGCTGTGGGAGTCCTCAGCTGGCCAGGGCCCCAGTTAAAAGGCGGGCGCCTGACTGCTGGGTTCATGGAGCCAGGATGGCCGAGCTCCTGCACCTGTTGGATCCGACAAATTTCAGAACACAGCTGGGTCACGGATACGGAAGCTAAAACTAGGGTAAGGAAAGCTTCATTGCAGGGGCCTGATCATTCTCAGACAGCTAGGCAGAGACACCAAGGACTCTGCAGGCACCAAGACACTGTAAGGCAGGAGAAGCTAGTGCGGGTCACAGGTGCTCTCATCACATAAGCCGTGGTGAACTGCAGCGCAGGGCAGTGAACCTGGGCTTCAAAGAGAGGCAGCCTCGTTCAAATCCCAGCCTCATTCATTATTAGCTGTGGGGCTTTGGGCAAGTAATTTTTCTGTGTCTCAGTTTCCTCAGCTGTAAAATAAAGCTGAAATCATCACCTTCACGGGGTCACCCCAAGGACTGCATGGGAGGCACACACCGAACACACACACTGAGCTCATGCTTTAGGGATCTGAGTCACAGGCCCACTTCCCAAGGCAATAAAAGACGGAACTGCAAGCGGATGACACGGGAATCAGCACCCATTGTTTGCTATGTGAAGAGGCAGGACATCTTGGTGGTTAATAACACCTTTGGGGAAAAGACATGTCTGGACTGACTGAATGATGATCCCTGCTAGTTGGGTTGCTTTGAGCAAGTTACCCAAACTCTCTGAGCCTGTGGTCCTCATTTAGAAAATAGGCACTGACAATAATACCTACGCTATAAAATATTTGTAAAGGTTAAGTAAGTTAATACTGCGAAAGAGCTTTCTCAAGCTTTGATGTTCAGGCAAATCAGTTGGAATCTCGGTAAAGCGCACTCTGGTTGAATAGGTAAATAGGCACGGTGTGGACCCCAAGACTGTCCGTTTCTAACAGAGGCCCCGGCAATTCAGTGCTGCTGGTCTTCAGGTTGTCTTTGCAGTAGCAAAGCTTTCAAGAAGTTATCTCAGGCCTGGCACACTGTAAATACTCAGTAAATATCGCCTTGATGATGATGATGATTGATGAAAGGTCTAGAATAAAAGAACTCTGCCGCCAGCCTTCCTTTTAGCTATAGAATGCCTCAGCAACGCGCTATTAACCCGCAGGAAGTGTTTTTCAAGAGAAGCCCGCATATAGTCAATATATAGTGTGGAAGGGGGAGGAGGGTGGGCTGGGCTGCAGTCTCTGTCCTATGTGGCCTTGCAGATCTTACTCTCTGGGCTTCATTTTCCTCACTTCATGAATACTTTTACATCTAAAGTTTTATGGTTTCACAAACAAAATGGCTTAGGAAGAGTTCACTTCCGCTCATCTGGCATTCCACCCGGAGGACTGTGGCCCTGGCCACATGTGCGACATCTGTGGGGCCTCCTGCTGCTGCCATCCATGCCTTGCTCTTGTCACTGACCCCAGCCTCCCGGCCTCGGCGGCGCAAGGGCGGCTCCTACCTGCAGCAATGGCTGTCTTCTTGTCCACGGTCACTGCCACAGCTGTGCTTGCTGTCACCACCATGGGCTCACTCGCACTTTCTGGGGAAACAAAGATGACCTGGTCACTGTGGAAGAGCTGTGGCTGGGGCAGGTGGAGCCCTACCACTTTCTCGGACCAGGAGATGGGAATAAAAGCAGGCGAAGACATCCTTGGAAGAACAGAGTCGGGGCGGGACAGGAGTCGTGTTTGGAGAAGTTGCTGCTGTGATAGCGGTTACAACACCGGTCTTGGACAGACACACACGTGGCCTCTGGCCGACAGAGTGGTGCAGGGATGCAGCGTCCCCATGACCCGGGGTTTCTGCCTGTCTGCCGGCTTCGGCATACGTCTTGCCCACAACACCTGTGCTACGCCCAGTGGTCCCTTCCAGGGAAGGAAGGACAGACCGCGTTTCAGCCCTGGGTGGTGGGTGACCCTGGCTTGCTCTCTGTGAGTCTGCATGAGTCAGAGAGGATGCTGACAGTCAGTCCCGCTCAGGAAGCCAGACGCCACAGCTGAGCCGCTGTCCGGCCTGGGCAGTGCGGTCCTGGGCGGTGCAGTGACAGACCCTCCACCACACAGTGGCCCTCAAGGTCGCTCTGGCTTGCTTCACAGCTCTTGCTGCACTTCTGAGACTCTCTGCAGCAACTCAAGGCAAGCCCCGAGGCTCCTGAAAGCCACAGGGCTTGCCTTCCATTGCTCTCTCCACCTCTTCTGGAAGAATCAGGCCACCATAGGTGCAGAGTTTAGAGGGCAGTTTCGGCTCCACATTGAAACAGAGCTTTCTGGCTCTGATTGGGGCTGGTTACTACAGGACCCCAGGCTTCTTAATTCTCATCAGTCCCTGGCCTCGGACTGGAATTTCAAAGCACTCTTGTCTGCAGGTCAAATGCTATTACTAAACTTCCAAGCAAGGGGCAAACATTTTCTGATGTGCGAACATATTTTGTTAGAATGTCTCGATTTCAAATGTTGCACGAAGCGAACAGGTCACAGGACTCTAGCGTGGCCATTATTACAACAGTGTCAATTACCCTGGGACTTAACCACCAGCTTTT